GCGCCGAAAAATATATGAACGTGACCATACAGTTTCACGGTCTTGGAATCCAGAACGCTACGACTATGAGGAAATTGAAGTGGACGAATTTGATCAAGAAATTGTTGCATCTGAGGGTAGGGCCATGCACATTGCGCTGCCTGTTGCCGAGCCATATACGGATCCATTCCAGGTCACTTTCCGTTGCATTTTTCATTAATTTCATTAAACATAAATGCGGTTTTCGTCCAGTTACACTGATTTTCATTTGTCTTGTGCCGCAACAGTCACTGAGTAGTGTCGCGTTTCAGGCGGGCCCGTGCGAGCATAAGTTTTTCCTGAATTTCATGGTGTATTAAAGTCGCTTGAAGTCCCAGCAGTTAGGATTTGTGGCATACTGAATGTCAGGTGGTGGCGCATCGAGCGACAGCTCGAGATGCTACTAGCTAGGCCAGCATTCTTTGAGCACACTTGCACGCTGTTGTTTCGGTGAATCCCGATCTTAATTCGGCAGACCATTTGTAATTGTGCAACTCCATGGTAACTGATTATGGGAAATCCCCTTAAAATTGCAGCTTTCTAGCTTTTCTGGTCCCCGAGTTAGCAATTTTCCTGCCAAAAATTTTCGCGGAGCCATACATGAGAACCACGCATTCCTGGCCCTCAATTTTAAGTTTTTATTTTGTGCATCGGTTGGGAACATCCCCTCAGAATTCCAGCTTCTTAGCTTTTCTGTTTCTGGAGTCGGCGATTTTTCCGCCCAAACTTTCAAGTGCTCATACACGGTACCTAGATATGCGTGAAGGCTGATACCGTGGTCCTGGGGTAGCATTTGACCGTGGGGCCCACTTGCAAAATTTTGGCGCCGGAGCTTACTTGGTTGCCGAGTTGAAATACCCGGACAGACAGACACAGATACGCACACACCGTAATCGTCACAGAATGCGTTTTTGCTTTGGCATATATGCAAACCCAGGCTGGAAAGCACCGGGCGGGCCCGTGCGATCATACGTTTTTGCACCGGACTGGAAACACTCAGGACATTAATTGCATGAATGGTTGTTGCTTTACACCTACCTTTCGCGGTCACTAGCATAAATCATAAATTTTGCATAAAGTAAATGTACAGTTTCCATTTAGCGGTCGTTCTTTAAAAGTAACCTGGCTGTTCAACAAGAAATTTTTCTGCCAAAACTTTTAAGTGCTCGTACTTAAGAATCACGCATACCTCAAAGCTAAATTTGAAATACTTAAGTTGTACTTGGACAGGTAACATTCCCCTAAAATTGCAGTTTTCTAGCCTTTTTGGTTCCCGAATTAATAATTTTCCCGCCAGAACTTTCATACGCCCTTACGTGAGTACCGCGCATAGCTGCGGGCTGAATTTTGAAATGTTTGAATTGCACTTGGACAGCGAACATCCCCCTAAAATTTCAGCCTTACAACTTTTCTGTTTGCTGAGTTAGCAATTCTCTCGCCAAATCTTTCGTGCTCGTACTAAGAGGGCTGGATTTGAAATATTTAAGTTTTACTTGGACAGTGGACATTCCCCAGAATTTCAGCTTTCTAGCTTTCCTGGTTTCCGAGTTAGCAATTTTCCCGCCAAAAATTTTGTACGGCCTTAAGTGAGTACCACGCATTTGAAATCTTTAGCTAACACATGCACAGAGAACATCCCTACAAAGTTTCAGCCCTTTACTTTATTTGGTTCCTGAGATCGCTTCCCCGCCAAAAAATTTGCATATTTTTTAAAGCGTCCATTCACGGCATCCAGCCGCCAGCGGGTGATAATATTACCCTGGCTGGAACGCACCAGGTTCTCCGGTGCGATCATCCGTTTTTGCACTAAACTCGCAGATCGCTATTAGCGGGAATGATCCCTACGCTGTAGCCTAACACTTAGGCTAATATTGTCGGTGCTTTGATCCTTTCTGACATGCAGGAGGAAGGGCATCAGTTGGGATGAAGGTGATGCATTACGGAGCGGCACAAATATCAAGGTGCATGATTACCGGTTTTTTGCATGAAATCCGGTCGTTTTTTCGGTAAATGCTCGCTTTGTGGAAAAATGACAAATGAAAATTTTTTGAAAGTATGCAAATTTTCAGTTCACTGAAAAATTGAAAGTATTGCTCGAACGGTCGTTTTTCAAAAAATCC